AACCAGGAGTGAGATGTGAGATCGTGTTTTGAGCATGACCGGAATGTGAGACACAAACTTCAAATTCATTTCAATGCACTCTGAAGCGCTTTGACAAGTAGCGGTTATTCCGTACAGACTCATTTTCAATGAACTCGGGTGTAGGTAGATAGAAAGATAGGTCTAAGATGCTAGGGATCTCCTTCTTTGAAATCATAGTCACGGAAACCAGTGTTGAAGGGCAGACTGTATGTTTAGATAGGCTGGTTTGCGTACCACATACTCCGCAAAACATGCCTTCGCTTCCAACATTTTTAGGAACTTTTACAGAAATAAATATAAAGTTCACTGATTATGGTACAACATCATATTCACATAAATGCAACGTACCTCTATCGAAACAATACCAAATATTTTGGCACCAAACTGATAAGTTGTTTCTTTGTAGGTGAAAGGCACTTGAATTGAATAGTCCATGCCTAGATCACCACCGCTCTGCAAATTTTCGCATTACTATCAAAACGTGCTACTTTTCCAGAAGCTGGAACGTTGCCTCGATGAAACCCACAAATTTTGGGCCGAACCATTTTGTGACGTTCTTCACAAAACCTTCCCCATACGATGAAAGCTTTTGGTATTTTAGATCTGAGGTGATGGTACAGCCGGGGTCTGAAGAGGCTCGGTGAAGCTACACGCTACGCAGAGAGCGATTGCTAAGGTGAGCAGGAGCATACTGGACGATGCTGGTATGGAATCGCTGTACAAAGGCAGTCGTTAACGAGCTGGTGACTCATTCACGCCGGCTTTTAAGCTCCACATCCCTCCAATAATGTTCAGGAATCGTGTGCACTTCATTGTTTTCGTATCTTTTGTGCAATAACTGACAAACATGCAAGGGTATGGAAAAAATCACGCGCATCGTCGACTATTCAATTAGAGGCATAATTCATGATAAAAATTAGCTTATTGGAAATAAGGGTGGAGGTGGTCAGTGGGACCGGGATAATAAAAAACCATTTGAAAGGGTCCGGAACCAGAAATAGGCCACCCTCCTTGCCCGCTGATTTGCGCATTGATGCGACTCTGCTGTGCCCTCTTCAACACCACTCTCTTTCTGTTAT